TATAATATACAGCAGAAAGTAAAGCAGAAATAAACAAATAAAGATGGGAGGGGGAAACATGCCTCGGGAAATAACAGATAAAGCAGAATCTCAAGAGAATTATCAGGAAACAAAAATTAAACTTCTAACAAGGATAACGAAAACAAAGGCAGATTTCTCTCTCGGTTCACAACTCGTTACAGGCATGCAACCCGATCCCATTTCTCATATCTTGTGGTAGGCGTACCACCCGCTCCCATTTCATTATATCTTGTGGTAGGCGTACCACCCGCTCCCATTTCATTAAATTTTGTGGTACACCCGCTCCCATTTTATTAAATCTCGTGGTAGGCGTACCACTCGCTCCAATTTCATTAAATCTCGTGGTAGGCGTACCACCCGCTCCCATTTCATTATATCAACAGTTCTTCCAAATGAAGTTTACTCTAACAAACGCAACAATTAATACGAATTCATAAGATAACAAGTACACAATAATTATGATTCACTGAGGAAAACAAATAATGACAAGTAGCAATTAATTATGGACTTTAAGGAGCAATTAGGCAATTTCATATTTAGTATGCTAAATGTCAAGTAGCAATTAAGTCACATAAACATGTAGCAATTATAGCATAAATTCAAGGCATATTGTTGCGCAAGGATACCTTAATCCAATAATAACAAGTAACACAATAAAGGAAAATGTCAACATAAAGAATCACAGTAATAGTGGAATAAGACAATTAATGCACTTGAACTGATAAATATAAGAAATCATAACAAATGGCAATAAGTGCACGGCATCACCCTTCGTGCTTTAACACTCTCTCACCAAAATAATACACGGCATCACCCTTCGTGCTTTACACTTTTCCTCACCCAAGCAACAATTACAAAGCAATTAGGGCAAGGGAATCAATGACATCACCATAATGTCAAGTAACAACAGAAAAACAGTAAAATAAATATAAAGAACAACACCACTCAATTATCAACAAGAATCAGGGAAATCAAGGACAAGTGCACGGCATCACCCTTCGTGCTTTTACTCTCTTCCTCACCATAAGAATCAATATAATAGGCACGGAATGGTACATCGTGCGGCACGGCATCACCCTTCGTGCTTTACACTCTTTCCTCACGAAACAAACAATGCACGGCATCACCCTTCGCGCTTTATCACTCTTCCTCACCCAAAAAAAAATCACAACAATGGGGCGAGGGAATAAACAAGATTATAATAGGAATCCCAACAAGGGAGCAACAATTAAACCATTAAATCCCGGCAAGGGAACAACATCAACAATATCAACATCCCGGCAAGGGAGATAACCAAATAAACAATAATATCCCGGCAAGGGAACAATTTAACAACTCTTTCTCTTTTCACTTTTACTTCACAACTCGCTTTACCACTTGAGTCATGCTCCAAAGGGTTCAATCAACTCACTTACTTTCACAAATTCGCAATATAACTTGAGCCATTGCTCCACGATGTACAAAAGTCACAATTACTTCCTTAACATTTCACAACAAATAGAAATCACTTCTAAAGCATAGATTGTTCAACGAAATCATGAAAATTACATTATAAGACCCACGGTCATGCTAGACACCAATATATAGATACTCGCCACCATGCCTATACGTCGTACTCAACAATAATCACGTAGCAAATAGGACTCGACTCCTAATCCCTCAAGCTAAGGTTAGACCAAACACTTACCTCGAACTTCCACGGCCAACTCAAGCCGCGAACACGGTTTTTCCTTTTTGAATTTGGCTCCAAATAAATTGTATCCCGCTGGTAATGATAACGCCGGCGACAACAGGAAGGAGAGTAGCATAAGTCAACCAGGATTCCCTCCTCATTGTCATCAAATAGGCAAAAACAGCAGTAAAAAAAAGGCGTAGTAGCACCAATAGCCTGATTGAATGAAACAAGCAAGTACCTAAGTGAAATATTGCCACTAACCACAGAGCCACAGAAGACGAGGCTCAAAGCAGAGATCTTAACAAACTGAACCCTAGATCTTATAGTCTGCATTGGAACAATTTTCATCCAAGCAATGACTATGTAGCCGAATAAAGAGCAATAATATAATATCGAAGTCCATGCCCAATATAATATCGAAGTCAACCATGTCCAAAAGCAACAAATCTACTCAAGTCTCAAGACCTCCAATCACCACAATACAGAACAATGGACTCGATCGACCACAGTAGAACCACCCACCGGTGTAGACACATAAACAGGAACACTCAATGAATTACTAGGCATGACCAGATACGACACAAAATAAAACCGAAGCTTCTCTACCACAAACCAGAACAGTACCTGCACCTCCACCTCTAATACCTTTACCTCCACCTCTAGCATCACTACCTCCACCTCTAATACCTTTACCTCCATCTCTAGCATCTCTACCTCCACCTCTAATACCTTTACCTCCACAAAGCCTCCGAAGATGTAGCTGATCTACACTGGTCTGTGCTGCTGCTCAGCTGAAGAAGTGGTACATGACCTCACCATTCGCGAAAGGACAAGAGTAGAGGTTTCAATTTAGCATTGAGAGAACAAAATCGCACGACAGGGAAGAATATAAGTGAAACTTTTCCTAACTCTGTAGCCTCTGGTGGATAAATACAGACGTCTCCGCACTGATCTCTCAGACTCTACTAAGCTTGTCTGTGAACTGTGAGACCCATGTAACCTAGAGCTCTGATACCAACTTGTCACGACCCGGATTTCCCACCCTCGGGAGTCGTGATGGCGCCTACTAACATGAGCTAGGCAAGCCAATCATTTGAACAATTTAACTTTTTACCATTTTATATTCTTTAACAATTACGAAGATATAACATTTAAGAGCGGAATTTAACATAAGCAGAAGAAAAACAATAAACTATCTGAGCATGAATATCTAATACAACTGTTTGAGTGTAGACTACCCAGAACTGGTGTCACAGTTTCACAGACGGTCTAAGAATACTACACATAAAGGTCTGAAAGAAATAAATTCAACACTGTCTCTGGAAATACATGAAAGAAACAGGAAAGTAGATGAAAGGAGACGCCAAGGCCTGCGAACGCCTGCAGGGCTACCTCGGGTCGCCTGATGAATAAGATCCAGCAATCTCACTACGGTCCGAAATCTACAACACTGGGGTCTGCACAAAAGAGTGCAGGGTGTAGTATCAGCACAACCGACCCCATGTGCTGGTAAGTGCCTAGCCTAACCCCAGCGAAGTAGTGACGAGGCTAGGACCAGACCACCAAATAAACCTGTGCATTTGTATAATATACAACGGAAAGTAAAGCAGAAATAAACAAATAAAGATGGGAGGGGAAAACATGCCTCGGGAAATAACAGATAAAGCAGAATCTCAAGAGAATTATCAGGAAACCAAAATTCAACTTCTAACAAGGATAAGGAAAACAAAGGCAGATTTCTCTGTCGGTTCACAACTCGTTGCAGGCATGCAACCCGATCCCATTTCTCATATCTTGTGGTAGGCGTACCACTCGCTCCCATTTTATTATATCTTGTGGTAGGCGTACTACCCGCTCCCATTTCATTAAATCTCGTGGTAGGCGTACCACCCGCTCCCATTTTATTAAATCTCGTGGTAGGTGTACCACCCGCTCCAATTTCATTAAATCTCATGGTAGGCGTACCGCTCCCATTTCATTATATCAACAGTTCTTCCAAATGAAGTTTACTCTAACAAACGCAACAATTAATACGAATTCATAAGACAACAAGTACACAATAATTATGATTCACTGAGGAAAACAAATAATGACAAGTAGCAATTAATTATGGACTTTAAGGTGCAATTGGGCAATTTAATATTTAGTATGCTAAATGTCAAGTAGCAATTAAGTCACATAAACATGTAACAATTATAGCATAAATTCAAGGCATATTGTTGCGCAAGGATACCTTGATCCAATAATAATAAGTAACACAATAAAGGAAAATGTCAACATAAAGAATCACAGTAATAGTGGAATAGGACAATTAATGCACTTGAACTAATAACAACAAGAAATCATAACAAACGGCAATAAGTGCACGGCATCACCCTTCGTGCTTTAACACTCTCTCACCAAAACAATACACGGCATCACCCTTCGTGCTTTACACTCTTCCTCACCCAAGCAACAATTACAAAGCAATTAGGGCAAGGGAATCAATGACATCACCATAAAGTCAAGTAACAACAGAAAATCAGTAAAATAAACGTAAAGAACAACACCACTCAATTATCAGCAAGAATCAGGGAAATCAAAGACAAGTGCACGGCATCACCCTTCGTGCTTTTACTCTCGTCCTCACCATAAGAATCAACATAATAGGCACGGAATGGTACATCGTGTGGCACGACATCACCCTTCGTGCTTTACACTCTTTCCTCACGAAACAAACAATGCACGGCATCACCCTTCGTGCTTTATCATTCTTCCTCACCCAAACAAAAATCACAACAATGGGGCGAGGGAATAAAAAAGATTGTAATAGGAATCCCGACAAAGGAGCAACAATTAAACCATTAAATCCTGGCAAGGGAACAACATCAACAATATCAACATCCCGGCAAGGGAGATAACTAAATAAACAATAATATCCCGGCAAGGGAACAATTTAACAACTCTTTCTCTTTTTACTTTTACTTCACAACTCGCTTTACCACTTGAGCCAATGCTCCAAAGGGTTCAATCAACTCACTTACTTTCACAAGTTCGTAATATAACTTGAGCCATTGCTCCACAATGTACAAAAGTCACAATTACTTCCTTAACTTTTCACAACAAATAGAAATCACTTCTAAAGCATAGATTGTTCAACGAAATCATGAAAATCACATTATAAGACCCACGGTCATGCAAGGCACCAATATATAGATACTCGTCACCATGCCTATACGTCGTACTCAACAATAATCACGCAGAAAATAGGACTCGAGTCCTAATCTCTTAAGCTAAGGTTAGACCAAACACTTACCTCAAACTTTCACGGCCAACTCAATCCTCGAACACCCCTTTTCCTTTTTGAATTTGTCTCCAAATCAATTGTATCCCGCTGGCAATAATAACGCCGGCGACAACAGGAAGGAGAGTAGCATAAGTCAACCAGGATTCCCTCCTCATTGTCATCAAATAGGCAAACACAGCAGTAAAAAAAAGGCGTAGTAGCACCAATAGCCTGATTGAATGAAACAGGCAAGTACCTAAGTGAAATATTGCCACTAACCACAGAGCCACAGAAGACGAGGCTCAAAGCAGAGATCTTAACAAACTGAACCCTAGATCTTATAGTCTGCATTGGAACAATTTTCATCCAAGCAATGGCTATGTAGCCGAATAAAGAGCAAGCAGTCATATGACACATTGTGAGGAAAATTGGGTATTTGAAACCATAATTGCTTAGCAAATACTTGTTCAGTAATAAAACCCCAATGTTTGATGAATACCATGCTGCTACCAGCGCAATCGTGAAGAATTTGCCGGATGTTATCATTATAAATTGATCCCAAATAATTCACCAAATTAAACCATAAAGCCTAAGACTATAAAAGAACGAAGAAGAGGTGAATTTTTGACATCAATGTATCCCACACAATTTCATAAATAAGTAAAGGGAAAAAAAAAAGATGATGTTTGACAAGTATATCCGAAGAGATGTCTGAAGCTAATAAAACCCGGAAAGGGGTAAAAGAGGAGAGAGAAATAGGGTGGAGTTTGAGAGCATGGTAGGCGGACGCAGAATTTGCTGAGAATACAAAAGAAATATTTACAAAAGAGAAAGGTAAACCCGAGCGAAACGCGTAGGCGAAGTGTTGCGTAGTAAAATCTAGTTTAGTTTTCCTCAAACTTCTTAAAACATCAATTTTTGCAATTTAGGTCCGAATCACGTCAAATGACATCCGGTTTTATCCGAATTCCACACAATCATCTTAAATCATATATAAGACCTGCACCGGGTGTCAGAATCAAAATACGGGCCCGATACCATCATGTTCTAATCAAATTTCATTTCAAATTCCTTTAAGCAATTTCAGAAAATAATTTCCTTTAAAAAATTCATTTCTCGGGCTTGGGACCTCGGAATTCGATTCCGGGCATACGCCCAAGTCCCATATTTTCCTACGGACCCTCAGGGACTGTCAAATCACGGGTCCGGGTCCGTTTATCCAAAACGTTGACCGAAGTCAAATTTATTCATTTTACAGTCAAAACTTATCATTTTTTTTTACAGATTTTCACATTTAGGCTTTTCGGCTACGCGCCCGGACTGCGCGTATAAATCGAGGTGATGCTAAATAAGGTTTTCAAGGCCTCGGAAACACAGAATTCAATTTAAAAGCAAGTGATGACCCAAAGGGTCATCACAAAAACATACTTGAACATGGCTCTTCCACAATAGGCAAATTGGATGGTGAGGAAGATTCTGGATGCTAGGAAAAATGAATAGCAAATACCAGCCCTAAACCAGCAGAAGAGCTTCATTAAGCAGATATACTTAGGTCTTTTGGGAATCATAACAAAGTAGAATGGAGAAGCTTGCTATTCCATAATGAGGCTAGACCTAAAGCAGTGTTTACAATGTGGCTCCAGTCTGTGGATCGATTAGCCAAATGGGGAATCCAAGTGAATTCAAGGTGCATTCTGTGTATGGCTTCAGAAGAATCTCATCTCCATCTCTTTGGTGAGTGTAGCTTCTCTAAAGCAGAATGGATGAGATTACTGAGATGGTTTTAACTATTGAATGCTATAACTAATTCTTGGCAACAAGTGTTTACATGGCTACTTTTCCAATCCAAAGGTAAGTCACTGAAGGCAAAGATACTCAAGATGATGTATGCAGAATATAGTTATGTGATTTGGAGAGAGAGGAACAATAGAGTGTTTGAAGATCAAGCAAGGCATGTAGAACAACTAGCTAGGGAAGTGGCATGCATATGCAACATTAGAGCACAAGGGGAGTGAGGACAAAGATGCAGCAACTTCATTTCTGAGGCAAAACAACAATAAAAGACCAGAGGGCAAGATAGCACTTTGAGGATTTATGTACTACTTATAGTATAGTTATAGAGATAGGACTATATATGGATTGTAGCAATTCGAGGATGACTATGCTGATTTGTAACGATTGCTCTTGGTGATTAATGAAATATTCTAGTTACCAAAAAAATAGATACGGTTTTACATATGGAAGATGGGTAAGGACTAGTACAATATCATTTGAGCGTAATAAAAATTAAATGAGGTGTATTAGAAGCAATATAGGTGTATTGGTGGAAAAAAGGTAACGAGTGTCTAGAGTATATAAAATTCTAACTCGTACTATGTCAAATATTAGTATAGAAAGATGTCGAACCCACAGAGATTGGTTTATTTATTCTACAGATGTTTCTTGTTTTAATTACTATTTGAGAAAGTCAGAAAAAGTTGAGTTGTGAATTAACTAACTAAAATTCATGAATAGAGCAATAGAAAATATTTTGTTTTTCACAAATATAATAAAAAGGTGTCGGGATCTTGACTTCACTTAATATTTTTATTATATAGTTGTGATGACCCAATAGGCCATTTATAGTTTTACCGTTCATTTCTGTGTTCTGATACCTCGAATAGCTCTGTTTAGCCTTCCTCAATTTTCGTGCGTAGTCCGTGTCCTTTTTTCGGGAGAGTTTTATGAAAAAGTTGACGAAAATGTCAAGTCGTGCCTGAAAACTCATTTGAGTTGATTATGATCAACGTTTTGAGTAACCGGAACCGAATTAGTATTTTGATGGTCCCGATGGGTCTGTATTGTAATTTGGGACTTGGGCGTATGCCCGGAATTGAAGTCAGAAGTCCCTAGATCGATTTAACATAATTTGTTAAAGAATTCTTTAGTTTGATCGTAGGTTGACTTTGTTACTACCGGATTCAGATTTCGGTTCCGGAACTTGGTATAGGTTCATTCCAGTATTTATGACTTTTCTGAAAAATTTGTTGCAAAACGGAGTTGATTTGACGTGATTCGGATGCCCGGTTGAGAAATTGCATGTTCTTAAGTTTCATTAAAAATTACATTCGTTTTGGTGTCTGATTCGTAATTCTAGGTATCAATTTGGTGTTCTGATCGCGAGCGAGTTTGCATGATATTTTTACCCTTGTGTGCATGTTTGTTTTGGAGCCCGAGGGGCTCGGGCGGGTTTCGGATAGGCTACAGTCCATTTTGAACTTAGAATTTCTGGTTTTTTTGGAAGTCTGCTGTCACCTGATGTTTTGTGCTTCGCGATCGCGAAGCCACTCTCACGATTGCAAAGGGGAAACTGGGGATGAGGTGTTGTTCTTCATCGAGAACACAATAGCTAGGTGGCAAACGCGGAGCATTGGGGATTTATCCTTCGCGAACGCGACCAGCTTCTTGCGAACACGTAGGGTTATGGACATGGGAAGGGGTACTGGGCTAGTGTTCTACGCGAACACGACCATTGGGTCGCGAACGCGATGGCCAGGGGAGAAGAGCCATCGCGAATACGATGGACATCTCGCAAACGCGAAGGCCAATTAGGCCGCTGTGCATCGCGAACGCGGCAGGCCTTTCGCGAACGCGAAGAAGGCCTGGCGCTCAGACCTTAAAATATTTCAAACACGTGATTTCACCCTTTATTCACCATGTTTTCATTAGAGCTCGGTCTAGAGGCGATTTTGAAGAGAAATTTCATCACCCTTTCATAGGTTAGTGTACTTTAAGTTGTTTTCTTCCATTTCCATCAACACCCATTAATTTCTAACCTTAATCTATGTTCTTTCATGGTAGAAAATTTGAGATTTGGGAAGAATTAGGGGATTTGTAAAATTGAGATCTAGACCTTAAATTGTGGTCGGATTTCGAAACTAATTAAATAATCAGGCTCGGGGGTGAATGGGTAATTGAGTTTTGGGCTGGATCTCGAATTTTGGCCAAGCGGTTCCAGGGTTGGCTTTTGGGGAAAAATGTAATGATCTTAACTTATGTCTTTAATTAATTTCCCTAGCATTATTTTATGTTGTTGAGTCGATTTTGGTTAGATTCAATTAGTTTGGAAGTGGATTTTAGAGGAAAGGTCCCGGTAGAGCTTTGATTTGCTTGTGGAGCGAAGTAAGTGTTGGGTCTAACCTTGATTTGAGGGAATTAAGAACACTTGAGCTATATGCTATTTTGATTTACATGTGTAGAGGCGTATATGCTAGGTGATTAGTGTATATACGTCGTCAAAATACTTGTTTCCATGCTTTTTCGTATTTTATTAATTATTTTATTCCATGTCTTAATAGTTACATGCTTTAATTGTTTCCTATGCCTTTACTTGCTACTTTTCACTAAATTCTCTTATATTTACATGTTCCTTCCTTCCATGCTTCCATGATTAATTGCTACTAGCCTTAATTGCTTTACGTGTACACTTTAATTGTCATACATTTGATTTGTCTTGTTGCTTTGTATTAATTGTAGTGTTTCTTGATTTGGTACGAGGTTCCTTTATGGCTTGGTTTCATATTCTTTATTCGCAGAGATTCTTGTGAAGTAAGTTGTGGAATTTATTGCATTTATTGATTTTTGCTTATGGACCGGGTTGCATGCCGCAACAGGTGGAATAAGAGAGGATTGATATTGATATGGTGGGATCGGGTTGCACGTCGTAACATGTGGAATAAGGGAGGATTGATATGGTGAAATAAAGGAGGATTATGATATTGATTCTGATTATATGGTGGGATCGGGTGTGTGCCATAACGGATTTTACTTCTTATTATTGATATTGATATGGTGAAATAAGGGAGGATCGCGTTTGTACGGTGAGATCGGGTTGCGCACAGCAACAGATTGTGTATTTTGTATTCCTTATTGTATTGTGTTGGCTTTGGTGCTTTCGTATGAGATTTTGAGTTTTGGTATTTCTGGTGTTACTGATTTCGAGGATTGAGTTGATTTTCATAAGTTAGTTGCCTTACTCTTTCTACATTTCTTTCCTATTATCATTATTATACTGCGTATAGATTATTGTAAGTGACATGTCTTAGCCTCGTCACTACTTCGTTGAGGTTAGGCTCGACACTTACAGAGTACATGGGGTCAATTGTACTCATACTACACTCTGCACTTCTTGTGCAGATTTTGGAGTCCGTCCCAGCGGCAATCAGTAGATTGCTCAGATTGACCATCAGATGGAGACTTGAGGTACAGTTGCTCGGCGTTTGCAGCCCTTAAGTCCCCTTCTACCTTATCCTAGTTATTTATTTCTTTTGAGACAGTTTTACTTTCATTTAGACCATTATCTGTATTATTCTAGTCGCTCGCGCACTTGTGACACCAGATCTGGGGTTGTATCTAGATATTGTGGTGGTTATGATTTTTCGTACTTTATTTTAGTTCTGTTATAGTTATTTCAGTTTAATTGGTATCAGTTAATGTTTTTTGTTAAAAATGGCTAAAAACTATTCTAACGTTGGCTTGCCTAGCAAGTGAAATGTTAGCGCCATCAC